TCTCTCTCTCTCTCACTGACTGTTCCTTCTCTCTCTCATTGACTGTTCCTTCTCTCTCTCTCTCTGACTGTTCTTCTCTCTCTCTCTCACTGACTATTCCTTCTTTGTCTCACTGACTATTCCTTCTCTCTCTCTCTCACTGACTGTTCCTTCTCTCTCTCTCTCACTGACTGTTCCTTCTCTCTCTCTCTCACTGACTGTTCCTTCTCTCTCTCACTGACTATTCCTTCCTTCTCTCTCTCTCTCACTGACTGTTCCTTCTCTCTCTCACTGACTATTCCTTCTCTCTCTCTCTCACTGACTATTCCTTCTCTCTCTCTCTCTCACTGACTGTTCCTTCTCTCTCTCTCTCACTGACTGTTCCTTCTCTCTCTCTCACTGACTGTTCCTTCTCTCTCTCTCTCACTGACTATTCCTTCTCTCTCTCTCTCTCACTATTCCTTCTCTCTCTCTCTCACTATTCCTTCTCTCTCTCTCTCTCACTATTCCTTCTCTCTCTCTCTCACTATTCCTTCTCTCTCTCTCTCTCACTATTCCTTCTCTCTCTCTCTCACTATTCCTTCTCTCTCTCACTGACCATTCCTTCTCTCTCTCACTGATTTCTCCTTCTCTCTCTCTCTCACTATTCCTTCTCTCTCTCTCTCTCTCACTGACTATTCCTTCTCTCTCTCTCTCTCTCACTGACTATTCCTTCTCTCTCTCTCTCACTGACTGTTCCTTCTCTCTCTGTCTCTGTGGGCCCTTTTTCTCCCGTTCACTTCTTAAATATTTATGTGTCCCGGGGTTCTATCTTCAGCAAGCTAGTTACAAAACTTCCCTCCTGGGAGGAGGATAAAAATGAGATATATATGAACCATCCCTACCTTCCCTTACCACCTTTCTCCTCCCACCCCCCCCAAAAAAGAGAAAAATCAAAAGGTACACTCAGTGTAATTAATATTAAAAGAATTTCACCAATGGTGACTTTTGCTCATGGTCAAATCTGAGCCTATTATCACAACTGATCTTTGAGATGGCACTGAAGATGCTGACGAGAGAAATTTTAAACTAATAATTTAACAGAAATGAGTTTGATATAAGCAGTGCTCTTATTTTAAATTACTATAACTTCTTGAATAAGTTCTTTCTCAACATGAATATTTGATTGCTTTAATACATTTTCAATAACGATCATATAGTGACAGCATTGTAAGTTGAACAGAAAGCAGCGTATCAGTTATCTTTTAAAAGTTCAGCTGTACCAGTTACAAATATCAAGAGATACCAATGAGCCATTGTATCCAAGCCAATCTGTTAAATAAAATGGCAGTTGCAGAATTCAAATGGCCTTCTCACTCCGCTTCTTAAAATGTCCACAGAACTTTTAGTAAAGCAAAGCATTATGTAGTCTGTACAATTATATTGC